CATTAACGGTAATTTTTTACTTCCAATAAATTTGATAATTTTTAAAATAGCAAAGAATAATAATTTTGATATACAAAATGATATAGTGTTTCTTCAATAATAATTGTCAATTCAAGGAAACGTTTTCGTATTTCTTTGGATTCGTCATTTGATTCAAACAAACGTTTTTTAAGATTTCTTAAATATTTTCTAATTTGCTATTTGCTGTTTTGTATTACTTAAATTAATGGTTAATAAATAATAGTTGCAAAAATAAAATTCACGATAAACTAATCTTTGCTGAAAAGATATCGGAGTCTTCTTGACATATTTTTAATTTTCTACAGTAACGTTTCCAATGACTAATTGTTCAAAGATGCTTTTAGATTAATTTCAATAAACATTCTATTATAGTTTGGTCGTGGCACAAACAATCCTTGCCATTTTGCAAAATGATACAACAGGAAGCAGTAGTCCTAAAGAACGCCGTGAAATATTATGGAGCAGACAAGCTGGTGTTCACCGGCCTGAATATGACAGTATCTAAAGGCTCCATGTAAGTAATTGTTTAAACAATGATTAAACAATGTAAAAAATTTATCGTTGTCAACATGATTGAATTCTGTTTTAAATAAAGTTGTTAATTTAAATTTTTCTAAAAAAAAGCTACTGAAAAAAATGCTGTTTAAAATTAAAAAGGCGTGTTGCAATCATCAAAGATGATGAAGATGATTATATTGATTCATAAACTTGCGATAGTACTTGCAATTTTTTAAAATTATTTGACAAATAAGATACATTTGTATACAACACATTTTTATATCAATTTAATTGCTTTATCCTTTGACTTGATAGAAACAATCTGTAAATTATAATCACGTATTTTCCTACAACATTCGATTGATTAACACGTCAATTGCTGCATTGGTTGTGTTACCACACACATTTATTCTAGAAATAGAGTAAATTTACATCTCTTTAACATAATCTCCTACTATGTTTATATAGGAAACGCGCCTCTGCACGTCAGAAACGGATGAAACGGTAGAATAGTGTTGTCGAAGGACCGCTCTAAAGGGACGTTTTCTTGTGTAATAAATGCTTCTTGTGTAATTATAATTTTGCAAAGTACTTTCTTATTCGTTTTTTCTCTATATATTTATTTTCTTATTACATCTGGTTTTTTAATGTATTAAACAGATATGGATTGCTGGGTCCCTCCGGATGCGGCAAAACCACGTTGTTGTCATGCATTGTGGGAGTTCGACGTCTCAACAGCGATGAGATTTGGGTTCTGGGTGGAAATCCAGGTAGCAAGGGTTCCGGAATACCCGGACCCCGGTGGGTTACATGCCGCAACAGATCTCCTTGGTCGAAGAGTTTACTACGAGCGATGCCCTCTACTACTTCGGCAGAATCAATGGGCTCGAAAACGAAGAGATTGGTAAGGTGAAAATCGCTTAGGAAAAATATCAAGATTATTGCGTAAGAAATGTAGCATTTTGCATCTCTTTTTTTCTAAACTTTGCATCTGTTGTGTTCGCGTAATGTAAATCATTTTGCGATAACTGCAATTTTTTCTTTCTAAGACACAAGACAGAGGTTTCTCTCGGAATTGCTCCAGCTACCCCGGCAAATCGTCTGGTAAGAAATATGAGTGGCGGCCGGCGAAGGAGAGTTTCATTTGCTGCCATTTTGATCCACAAGCCCGAACTTTTGATTTTGGACGAACCCACTGTGGGGCTGGATCCAATTCTAAGGCAGAAGCAAGTAGATTTTTATTTTTTCTTTAGACGCAATGAACCAGAAAAGATAGGAAGATAATATTCGAATATACATTTTGGTTGCAGCATTTGGGACTACATGATAAGGCTCACGCAAGAGGAGAGCATTACGATATTAATGACAACGCACTATATCGAGGAAGCTAAGGATTCCGATAAAGTAAATCTCATTTTAATTGAATCCCATTATTTTTATTAATAGTAGAATTGCAAAAAAAATATTTTATGCATTTGAAGCAACTATTCTTTTTACTCAATAATACAAATCCTAATTTGATAGTAAAACTGTATTTTTTACGCATGCAGATCGATTTGATAAGATGTGGTCAATTGTTGACGGAATTATCACCAGATCAATTATTAGACAAATTTCAATGCTCATCTTTGGAGGAGGCTTTCTTGACATTGAGTCGGACACAAGAAAATATGGCAGTTACGAGTATCACTGAGACTTATAGATCCATAGTAGAAAATACTAAAAGCGATGTTTTGTATCAAGATAAATGTAGACGAACAAAGGTAAATATAAAACGATTTGCTATTCTTATTATTATATTATTATAAGATATGATATAAATCGATATCATTTTATTGTACAAACAAATCAGCTTGTTAAAAATAAAGCGGCATATAAAGCGAATGCGAAATATAAGGTTTCGCGATCGAAAAAATTCAACGCTTTAATGAGAAAAAATATAATTCAATTTTTACGTTATTACTCGTAAGTATTTACTAATATTTTCACTAACGTTTTTGTAAAAAAAGTATTTAAAAAAGACTCCGATTGTTCTTATTCTGAGTTTTTCTATTTTTAATATATTTTTAATTATAATATTAAATTGTTACATATATAAAATATTTTTTTTAAACATTTCAACAATAAAATTTGCACAATTTTTTATAATAATAATTAATAATATGATATATTTTTTAGAGGGTTAATTTTTGTGATTATTTTTCCGATAATACAATTCAGTATATTTTTTGCCGCAATCGGTGGCAATCCGAAAAATTTGACGATTGCGATTGTCAATGAAGAAGCTGGCAATTGCAATTATGGCAGTAACTTCGGTAACGTATGGTACAACGAAAGGATTTCGTGTGTTACTTTGCCAATCTTAGCTGTAAATTTTTGCACAGTTTTGACGATTCTCTCGTAATAAAGGTACAATAATTTAAAAATTAATATTGTAATAAATATATATATTAGTAAAATTGGCATAAATATTATTTTAATACGTTCTTTAAATAAGAAAACGTTATTATTACTTATATTTTATTCTTAGAAATATTATAATGACTTTTTCGATGCAATGATTGGTGTGCGCAACGGAACTCATGTTGGTATAATGCACTTTAACCAAAATTTTTCTGAAACTATGCAGACACGAGTAGAATACTTTATTAATACTGAGGAAGCCGATATTCTTGCGAGTAAGATTAAAGTTAGCCTCGACATGAGTAGTATGTATATACATCATATATAATCGTTTAAATCTTTTTTAAATACATTTTTTACAAAAACGTTAGTGAAAATATTAGTAAATACTTACGAGTAATAACGTAAAAATTGAATTATATTTTTTCTCATTAAAGCGTTGAATTTTTTCGATCGCGAAACCTTATATTTCGCATTCGCTTTATATGCCGCTTTATTTTTAACAAGCTGATTTGTTTGTACAATAAAATGATATCGATTTATATCATATCTTATAATAATATAATAATAAGAATAGCAAATCGTTTTATATTTACCTTTGTTCGTCTACATTTATCTTGATACAAAACATCGCTTTTAGTATTTTCTACTATGGATCTATAAGTCTCAGTGATACTCGTAACTGCCATATTTTCTTGTGTCCGACTCAATGTCAAGAAAGCCTCCTCCAAAGATGAGCATTGAAATTTGTCTAATAATTGATCTGGTGATAATTCCGTCAACAATTGACCACATCTTATCAAATCGATCTGCATGCGTAAAAAATACAGTTTTACTATCAAATTAGGATTTGTATTATTGAGTAAAAAGATAGTTGCTTCAAATGCATAAAATATTTTTTTTGCAATTCTACTATTAATAAAAATAATGGGATTCAATTAAAATGAGATTTACTTTATCGGAATCCTTAGCTTCCTCGATATAGTGCGTTGTCATTAATATCGTAATGCTCTCCTCTTGCGTGAGCCTTATCATGTAGTCCCAAATGCTGCAACCAAAATGTATATTCGAATATTATCTTCCTATCTTTTCTGGTTCATTGCGTCTAAAGAAAAAATAAAAATCTACTTGCTTCTGCCTTAGAATTGGATCCAGCCCCACAGTGGGTTCGTCCAAAATCAAAAGTTCGGGCTTGTGGATCAAAATGGCAGCAAATGAAACTCTCCTTCGCCGGCCGCCACTCATATTTCTTACCAGACGATTTGCCGGGGTAGCTGGAGCAATTCCGAGAGAAACCTCTGTCTTGTGTCTTAGAAAGAAAAAATTGCAGTTATCGCAAAATGATTTACATTACGCGAACACAACAGATGCAAAGTTTAGAAAAAAAGAGATGCAAAATGCTACATTTCTTACGCAATAATCTTGATATTTTTCCTAAGCGATTTTCACCTTACCAATCTCTTCGTTTTCGAGCCCATTGATTCTGCCGAAGTAGTAGAGGGCATCGCTCGTAGTAAACTCTTCGACCAAGGAGATCTGTTGCGGCATGTAACCCACCGGGGTCCGGGTATTCCGGAACCCTTGCTACCTGGATTTCCACCCAGAACCCAAATCTCATCGCTGTTGAGACGTCGAACTCCCACAATGCATGACAACAACGTGGTTTTGCCGCATCCGGAGGGACCCAGCAATCCATATCTGTTTAATACATTAAAAAACCAGATGTAATAAGAAAATAAATATATAGAGAAAAAACGAATAAGAAAGTACTTTGCAAAATTATAATTACACAAGAAGCATTTATTACACAAGAAAACGTCCCTTTAGAGCGGTCCTTCGACAACACTATTCTACCGTTTCATCCGTTTCTGACGTGCAGAGGCGCGTTTCCTATATAAACATAGTAGGAGATTATGTTAAAGAGATGTAAATTTACTCTATTTCTAGAATAAATGTGTGTGGTAACACAACCAATGCAGCAATTGACGTGTTAATCAATCGAATGTTGTAGGAAAATACGTGATTATAATTTACAGATTGTTTCTATCAAGTCAAAGGATAAAGCAATTAAATTGATATAAAAATGTGTTGTATACAAATGTATCTATTTGTCAAATAATTTTAAAAAATTGCAAGTACTATCGCAAGTTTATGAATCAATATAATCATCTTCATCATCTTTGATGATTGCAACACGCCTTTTTAATTTTAAACAGCATTTTTTTCAGTAGCTTTTTTTTAGAAAAATTTAAATTAACAACTTTATTTAAAACAGAATTCAATCATGTTGACAACGATAAATTTTTTACATTGTTTAATCATTGTTTAAACAATTACTTACATGGAGCCTTTAGATACTGTCATATTCAGGCCGGTGAACACCAGCTTGTCTGCTCCATAATATTTCACGGCGTTCTTTAGGACTACTGCTTCCTGTTGTATCATTTTGCAAAATGGCAAGGATTGTTTGTGCCACGACCAAACTATAATAGAATGTTTATTGAAATTAATCTAAAAGCATCTTTGAACAATTAGTCATTGGAAATGTTACTGTAGAAAATTAAAAATATGTCAAGAAGACTCCGATATCTTTTCAGCAAAGATTAGTTTATCGTGAATTTTATTTTTGCAACTATTATTTATTAACCATTAATTTAAGTAATACAAAACAGCAAATAGCAAATTAGAAAATATTTAAGAAATCTTAAAAAACGTTTGTTTGAATCAAATGACGAATCCAAAGAAATACGAAAACGTTTCCTTGAATTGACAATTATTATTGAAGAAGCACTATATCATTTTGTATATCAAAATTATTATTTTTTGCTATTTTAAAAATTATCAAATTTATTGGAAGTAAAAAAATTACTGTCAATGGAATTAACGGCTTCTAAAGTAAATTATTTTTATTAGCAATAAAAGAATTTAGCCATATTGATAAGAATCATCAAAGTAATTAATTTTATTTATAAAAAGCAGCAATAATGCACTTTGGTATTAAAATTGCAAAAATTGCAAAAAATGGAGTTGGATATTTCGGCTTCTGAGCAGTTCAAATAAGAAACGATTTTATCTTGCATATTTCATCATCATTAAATTATTATTCATTCATAAATCTTAATGACCTAATACTACGGCTTGCTACGACTTTCACTCTGACCAGTCTTTTTTTATGCAATGTTTTCACGAATAGTCTACAAAAACCAAACAGAGATATCGGAAATTAAACTCTAGATTAAAATAAAAATCCTCGAAAACAAAACATTTTCTTTTAATAGAAACCGAACGCATCTAATATCTCAAATTAGATCCTGAAACTAGGATAATAAAAATCCTTTGAAACCAAAACTTTCTTTTTCGAAAATAAATATCGAATGCACACATACTTGCCTAATACTTTAAATTACCTAATACCGCCATATCTGATGAGAAAACAAATCTGCTCAGAGGCTCAGAGTAAAAATTTCAAAGAGCGACGACTATAAAGAAGACAGTGAATTTTCGGTTTCTAGAGATATAACAAAACACTTTGTTCAGAAAATTTCGATGAGCCAAAAAATCGACGAACAAACACGAATCGCGATATCGTTCTAATAAAAATATTTTTTTGGATTTTCACAGTCATGTGAAAATTTCGTTAGAAGAGCTTACCTCGATAGCTCGCTTAATCACAAGATTCACTTCTTTCCTCACACGTAGACGGATGTTATCTCGCCCAAAATTATTCTCTCCCAAAGCTTGAAAACTTGGATTGTCAATAGTGCAGTGTCTCCGAGAGGGATTCGCTATTATATCCGAAACTAGCTGGCCTCCCACTATAACACTCGTCGAAAAGCGGTATTACCATAGGCATATATAATAGACCGGTTCCTGCTGTGACAAACAGCGTCGATATTTGAAGGACATAGCATTATGAGTATTTCTGTCTTTTTCTTTCGTATAGTGGGAATAGATAAGGATAAATAAAAAAAACGACTGATAGATGAAGATGAAGCGAGCATACATTATTTTGGAATTTAAAATAGGATGTCTATACTCAGTTCAGTGAGAGAAAGCTTCTTCTCTCACTCGACCCGAACTCCGACGCGAAAGCGCCATCATTTCGATGGTACTAAAAATGAAATGACATTATCGGCGTAGCCTACGCCGCGTAGGTCCGTGTGTACGCATTTGTTTGTAGCGGTAACTCACTACACTGACGTGTGGTCTGGTACGTGTGTCATCGGAAGTTTGTAAACAAACGATGCTTGCGCTTGTTTCCTCGACTGAAATTTTGTCGCAAGGCTGCAATATAATGTCCGAGAAGACGTATAGGCGTATACAAGGTGTCAAATAAATATAAACTAAATATGAACAAAATAATAATTGAAAAAATATACATATAATACTATATATATCGCTGAAGAAAAATGTCATATACTTTTCTTATTTTTATCCTTATGTAGTAAATACAAAGTAACTAATTAATCAATTAATTAATATATACATATACACATATATTGAATAAATAGTTATCTTTATTTTGTATTTTATATGATAATGACTGAAATAATGAGAGTATATATCATTTCAGTCATTATATAAAATATAAAAAAAGATAATTATATTTAATATGTATATGTATGTATTGAATAATTAACTTATTTATTTATTATGTATTAATTACATAAGAATAAAATAGGGAAAGTATATAATATTTTTTTCCAATTAGATATATAGTATTATATATACATTTTTTAAATAAAATATTTTATCATTTCTAATTCATATCTATTAGACACCTTGTATAAGTCTATTTCGTTTCGCATGTACATCATACATTCATCATATATTAACAGACCATACGTGTAGTAAATTATGAACTAAAAAAAATACGTGTTTCTTAAAATCTGCAAGCTCACGATAAATCGTTTCTGACAATATTTCTTACAATTTGCCAGCCCACGAATAAATCATCTTTGGCTCTCTTTTTTCTAAACTGTCAGTTGACGTTAGGTTGCTTCCGACTGTATTCATTAAAAATTGTCAGCTGACGTTAGATCGCCTCCGACTATATTTATTAAAAATTGTCAGCTCACGGTAGACCGCCTCAGACTTTTCTAATTCTACTTCGCCAGCACACGTTAGATCGCCTCTGGCTTTTCTAATTCTACATCGCCAGCCCACGATAGATCGCCTCTGACATTTCTAATTCTACATCGCCAGCCCACGATAGATCGCCTCTGGCTTTTCTATTTCTACATCGCCAGCACACGTTAGATTGTCTCTGGCTTTTCTATTTCTACATCGCCATCACACGATAGATCGTCTCTGGCTTTTCTATTTCTACATCACCAGACAACGATAGACCGCCTCTGGTTTTTCTAATTCTACATCGCTAGCACACGTTAGATCGCCTCCGACTTTTCTAATTCTACATCCCCAGCACACGTTAGATCGCCTCTGGCTTGTCTTATTCTTTATTGTAAAATACTTTTATCACGTCATGTGCTTTATATA